GCATGAGCATATTAAACTTAGATTACTAATGGTATGCAGCATAATTATTTTGTATAATTCTGTGGGTTTATTATTTTAATTCAATCATTTTTAGCCTCCTCCTAAAGATTTAAAAGAACAAATGATAATAAAACATTGCTGTTTATAAAGCCTGTGTTTTGGAACAGGTATATGGGTTTACCTTGTTCTTTGAAATGAAAAATTGGCAAACACACCATCCCTTTCTATGGCATTCTATTTCCGGCAATAATAAATGTAACAATATCAACTTTATTGAAATCACAGACAGACAATTTCACAGACAGAATCAACTAGTTAAGAGTAGATGTGTACAATATTACTGGTAGACTGGTTTACCACTGAATTTTGTTTCTAGTGTAATGTATCATGATACTTTTTCACTCGAACAGTGATTGTGTAGTTACCATCATAAAGTAATGTATGGAAATTCTCAAAGTATCTTGTAAAAAATTTAATGATTTTAACTGAATTCTTTTATTTTTCATTAAAAAAATTATTCACAAAATTATTTTTGTTTTCTTTACAAATATGATTATGTTTATTCTTCCTTGATCACATGTTTTACAATGTCATGTAGTGGCAAAATGGGATATTGTGAAGGATATTCAGCCAACTTCAAAAACAATTTGGATTGGAAATTATTTACCAGGATATGTTAATGTTCTAAGTATTCCTTTGTAAGACTGCAAATCATCCAAAAATATTCTGGAGAGCAGCTGCTTTCTGTTTGAATTTTATGTAATTTCTTATGTTTACTATATATCGTCTCATTTGTCAAGTGTGTTTTCAGTTTAGTTACCCCTCAGTGATAAATATCTTACTCTGGTGTTAACTTCCGACTCAACGTTTTCCTGCCTATTACATCAGTATTGAAGTTAGTAAATTGTGGGCTTTAGTGTCAACACTTCCCATTTTATTAGAAAGCAATCTAATTTCAGTACAATGTTATTTACTGGTTATTAGCTGTATACTGAATCATTCCATTTTAATTACAATTTTAAGATCACAATTGATACAGCAATTAACATGCACAGAGCAAATAAGGAAATGGCTATTTAATTTGGTGGTATGGAGCTGCAATTATCTTCTGGGCTGAGCTATCTTATTTTCTTTTTTTCAAGATATTTTTTTCAAATAATATAAGATATAATATTGCAATATTTTACAGTCAATCAGAGCAAGATATTTTCCAGCTTTTGACAGGTGGGAATTTTTTTTAAATGTCATACTAATATCTTGTTTTTATCAATATGAAGTTACCTACCCCATCGTGACTGAATGTTTCTTATCAACAACAGGAGTTATCTACCCCATCATGCCTGAATGTTTCTTTAACAGCAATAAATGAATATATATTAGTCATGAATCATTAAAATTCTGCTACTACAATTATCATGACAGGAGCAATTAGTAAAACCAAAAGGTAATTTAAGCCAAAAAATCCATAGACTTTTGCATAATATAACCATATCAGGAGGATTTTGGAAGTCAAAATTTTACATTTTCTGTCATACAATAAATCTACATTTGGAGGTTTTTCGTATTCAAAATTCCATTGTTTGAGTGACACAATAAACAACATTAGGAGTCTTTCATAGTCAAAATTGTATTTTTGGGTGATAAAACCATCAGGAGTTTTCAGTAGTCAAAATTATATTTTTTCAGTGATATAATATAGCCATATTTGGAGAATTTGGTAGTCAAAGTTGGAAGTTTGGGTGAAGCAATATAACATTAGGTTTTTCTTTTTTAAAATTTTATTTTGTCATTGATACAATATGACCACATTGTGTGTGTGTGTGTGTGTGTGTGTGTGTGTGTGTGTGTGTGTGTGTGTGATTTGGATTTTTAACATAGCTTTAATAATTTTCCAGTCATTTTGCTATGATGTTATTCAATTCTGTCTGGTTCATCTCAATATCTACTTCAAAAACTTCAAAAAGTTCAAAACACTGCTGCTCGGATCATCTTTAGAGTATCATGATCAGAGCATGATTCTACGATGCTCTGTACCCTCACTGGCTATTCATATGATCCAAAACTAAACACAAAATTTGTTTCCTGTGCTACACTTCACTGACGGGCTCCAGTCCAACATACCTATCTGACCTCACCCATGTGTATACACCTGCAAGATGCTTATACTCCTCTTCTGGCACTCAAAATTCTCATTGTACCCACTATGAAGTTGAAATCATACCAACAACATTCTTTTATATACCAGCGCCCAGCAATGAGAATGAATTGCCCACTGTACTTAGACATAAAGACGCAGTGATCTCATTCAAAGAGCTCTTAAAACCCATCCATTTCAACTGCAAGAACATGCTGGCACAATGACCTAATAATGTATGCTTATAAAGTATCCTTACCTTAAAAATTTACAGCATGTTTTTCTGTTTTTAATTTTGTGGTGGGTTTTTTTTTGTAATCATATCATTATAAGTTTTTTATTCTTTTTAAGTGTTGTAAAATGGTGTTAAGCACTTAGAGCTTCTTTTGATTAGGCGCTATATAAAGCCATTACTATTATTATTATTATTATTATTATTATTATTATTATTATTATTATTATTATTATTATTATTATTATGTTGGCTCTGTGAAAATTTATAGTGATTTCTAGCACTGGACATCATGTTACAGACATTTAGCATCATGCACTGACCAGTCACATCATCCAGGCCAACCAGTTCTAGCACTAACATCTTAATGCCAAGAGCCAGGTGAGACAGCTGCTGATAATTCTTTGAAATGACTCAGCTGGGGTTCGAACACACAAAATCCCACATCCAAGATGCATCTCTAACCACTTAGGCCACCAGAGTGGTTGGGTTTTTGTGGGTATTGTATCTTTTTTGTAATACAAAAAAAAATACTGGCAAGGAAAAAGGGGTATTGTAAATGTAATACACAAAAACAATATTGGCAAGGAAATAGGGGTATTGTAAATGTAATACACAAAAACAGTACTGGCAAGGAAATAGGGTATTGTAAATGTAATACATAAAAACAGTACTAGCAAGGACAATGGGTATTGTAAATGTAATACACAGAAACAATATTGGCAAGAAAAAAGGGGTATTGTAAATGTAATACATAAAAAAAATACTGGCAAGGAAATAGGGGTATTGTAAATGTCACACACAAAAACAGTACTAGCAAGGACAATGGGTATTGTAAATGTAACACACAGAAACAATACTGGCAAGAAAAAAGGGGTATTGTAAATGTAATACATAAAAAAAATACTGGCAAGGAAATAGGGGTATTGTAAATGTCATACACAAAAACAGTACTAGCAAGGACAATGGGTATTGTAAATGTAATACACAGAAACAATATTGGCAAGGAAATAGGGGTATTGTAAATGTAATACACAGAAACAATATTGGCAAGGAAATAGGGGTATTGTAAATGTAATACACAAAAACAATACTGGCAAGGAAATAGGGGTATTGTAAATGTAATACACAAAAACAATATTGGCAAGGAAATAGGGGTATTGTAAATGTAATACACGAAAGCAATACTGGCAAGGAAAAAGGATATTGTACATGAATTACACAAGATCAATACTGGCAAAGAAAAAGGATAATGTAAATGTAATATACAAAAACAATAATGGCAAGGAAGAAAGGGGTATTGTAAATGTAATACACAAAAACAATACTGGCAAGGAAATAGGGGTATTGTAAATGTAATACACAAAAACAATACTGGCAAGGAAATAGGGGTATTGTAAATGTAATACACAAAAACAATACTGGCAAAGAAAAAGGGGTATTGTAAATGTAATATACAAAAACAATACTGGCAAGGAAAAAGGATATTGTACATGAATTACACAAGATCAATACTGGCAAGGACAAGGGGTATTGTAAATGTAATACACAAAAACAATACTGGCAAGGACAAAGGGGTATTGTAAATGTAATACACAAAAGTAATACTGGCAAGTGAAAAGGGGTATTGTAAATGTAATACACAAAAACAATACTGGCAAGGAAATAGGGGTATTGTAAATGTAATAGACAAAAACAATACTAGCAAGGAAATAGGGGTATTGTAAATGTAATACACAAAAACAATACTGGCAAGGAAATAGGGGTATTGTTAATGTAATACACAAAAACAATACTGGCTAGGAAAAAAGGGGTATTGTAAATGTAATACACAAAAGCAATATTGGCAAGGAAATAGGGGTATTGTAAATGTAATACACAAAAACAATATTGGCAAGGAAAAAAGGGGTATTGTAAATGTAATACATTAAAACAATACTGGCAAGGAAAAAGGGGTATTGTCAATGTAATACACAAAAACAGTACTGGCAAGGAAATAGGGGTATTGTAAATGTAATACACAAAAACAATACTGGCAAGGACAAAAGGGGTATTGTAAATGTAATACATGAAAACAGTACTGGTAAGGAAATAGGGATATTGTAAATATAATACACAAAAACAATATTGGCAAGGAAATAGAGGTATTGTAAATGTAATACACAAAAACAATACTGGCAAGGAAAAAAGGGGTATTGTAAATGTAATACACAAAAACAATACTGGCAAGGAAAGAATGGGGTATTGTAAATGTAATACACAAAAACAATACTGGCAAGGAAATAGGGATAATTGTAAATGAATTAACAAGAAGAAGGCCGGAGAATGCATTTTGAGCCTCTGCTTGAACCATTGCTGGAAATTTTATAACCTTGGCCTCATGGTCAAAAGAGCATGTGTGTGCAAGTGATTTGGATTTTTAACATAGCTTCAAAAACCTTTCAGTCATATCACTATGATGTCTGCAGTGTAGCAGTTTATAGTGATGTCTAGCATTCATGCTGCAGACATGTAGCATCATGTACCAACCGGTTTCCATATCCTGACACCAGGCTGACCACACCAAACAATGACCTCTTAATGCTGAGTGCCAATCAAGGCAGCTGCTAGTACCATTTTTAAAAGTCTTTGGTATGACTCAGCTGGGATTCCAACCCATGACCTCCTGCATCCAAAGCAGATGCTCTACCAGCTTAGGCCACTGGAGCAGTCATAAAGTGGGCTGCAGAATGAATATTCTTTGATTTATATTGACTTTCCAGGTATGAGCAAAAGCTAACAAAAGATTGAGAAAATATAATCAATAAAAATCTCTATCAAAAGCCTTAATGCAAATTTTCTATGACTGTGACTTTGATTTCAGAGTCATAAGAAGATAAATGTTGCAGAATGAATTGTCTTTGTTTCAGTGAAGGAAATATAAACAAATTAAAAATTTCAACTAAGACATTAACACAAATATGCTGTGACTTTGATCATGACACTTGAAGATAAAAAAAACTGCTATAATTTTCTTGCTTATGATTCACATCTTTGAAAAACATACCCTAAAACCACCATCCCCCCACCTTTTCATTTTGTTCTAAACCAGCCTTAAATAATGTCTTCTACTTGGCAACAAAAAGTAAAAAACCAGGTCAAAATATCAAACAGTTTATTCCAGTTTTAAGGAGGCATGATTCATACCTGCTTCAACTAACAGTCTATCAAGATTGATGCAGAATGAAATGTCTGTAGTCAGCTAATAGAAATAGAAAGTAATGTTTAGACAGGTAACTCTGAAAGTAAACCTGGCAAATTAAGAAATAAATACTGAGTCATTTCAAAGATGGTGAAGTTTTCTACAATCCTGTCGTGATGCATTGCATCTGTATGATACCATCAGTTTCAAACTTTAATATAGTAAATAACTAATACCACCTTGGCATGCAACAAAAATGACATTTGTTTTAAATGATGCAAGTGAACCATGATGAGTGAATTATTTGATTGACCCTTGCTTAATAATCCTTAATACTAGTAGAGCAGGTAATCACTCCAATGATTATTATTGACCAACATGCTGAAATGACTGACCTTTCATACTAGGTATGCAGTCTTGCACTAAACATGGTGAGCAGAAATTTTCTTTTTCTTATTACACTTTCCAATGCATTATCCTTCATAGACAAAAATCTATAGGTCATCCACATAGTCAAGGAACTTAATCTGAAACAAAAGTTACAGGTATTCTGCAAGACTCATGTTTCCTTGAGTTAAAATGACAATTCAAGTTTTGACCTCATAATCAACAGGCCTCTTTCGTACTTCACATGCAAGACCTCCATAAACTTTGGTCAAGTTATGATGTCTAGAGCAAAATTTTTATATGAAAACTAATTTTCTTCTTGCAAAGAAACCTCAACATTTGAATTTTTGATCTCCATATCAACAAGCTTCCTTTTTGCAAAAAGTGAAAGCCATCTACAAACTTAGTGATGACACATTGTCAGGAACTGACGTTTTATGCAGGAACCAGCTTTTCTTTTCAAGCTAGTGATCTGAACTTTTCACTTAAAAATCATTAGACTCCTTCCTCACTTCAAGTACAAGCCTTCCACAAAGTATAGTCCAGATCTGCAATGTATAACTGAAGATACTGTGCAAAAATCCTGTCTTCTTTTAGTTACAGTGACCTAATTTTTGACCCCCAAATCAAAAAGCTCCATGCCAATTCCAAGTGCCTGTCAGCCACAAATTTTGGTCTTTATGAAGAGGAGTGTTATTATAATGTATTTAGTTTTGAGTAAGTATTGAGACAGTATGTATTCTCAATGATAGCAAGACTATCTAATAATGAGAACTGTATATTGAAATCACTTTGGAACTATGACATTCATTTAAATTCTCATATTATTAGTAGATGGAACAAATTGCTCTTTAAATGTGTCACTAAACTTCATTTTTTAACAATGCAGGGTACAATTAATTGTTGTAAATGTATCTGTATATTTTGTACATATGATATATATGTTCTTTTATGTTTGAAATGTTTTACTCTATATCAGTATTTTAATTTAGATGTATGGACTATGCAGTCTGAAATAAAGAATTCTTATCTTATCTTATGCCAAAAGCACTTTGTACTTCAGTCATAATGACACTGATAATCTGCCCAATGAATAGGCTTCATCCTTACTGAAGTGCAAGCCATCCACAACGTTTGCTAAAGGTAGATGGTGCAAAACTAAAACTATTATGCAGCAAAGTCAATAAGGACAGATGTACTGATGCATGACTTGTTGGATGTATGGACAGACAAGTGAAAGGACAATGTCATTATATTATACTCTCCAACTTTTGATGGGAGCCTAAAAATATGAATAAAATAATCCCTATATTTAATAAGCCAAACTGCCAGAAACAAAAGTAGCACATTCTTATTAATGTCTGTCCTCATGATTTACCATATATACTTGCATATAAGCTGAAGAATGTAGGAAAAAAAAAGCCTTGAAGAAGGGAGGGGTTGGTTTATCTGTGGGTCATGCAGTTTATCGTATTTTTACCTAGTAAAGTTGGGGGAGTCAGCTTGTAGGCAAATGGGCTTATATGCAAGTGTATATGGTAGTACATTCTCATTATTGTCAATCCTCATGAAAAACCATACTTATCAAAGATATTCTTCAATACAATCAAAGAAAAGTGCAGTCATTCTGAAAATGATTTATATTCCATTTGTTTTGACTGAGAGTTTCAAAATAATGCTGAATTCATTTTAAAAAGTAAGATCTGAACAGCCCCTAATTTGGACTACAAAAATTTAAAATCAAAGGAATATTTCTGCACTTGCTCGATATAAATATTGAGACTCATAACCATCAACACTGTTAAATATTAATTTGTGTCAGAAAATGGAATTTTGGCACACATGCAAAATGTAGTGTTTAAAATTAATAGTGGATCATCCATAACTTACTCAAATAGTAAATCACGAAGTTTAAAAATATATTTTCATTGTTTTAGTTAAAGTATTTTCAAGGTTTTTACTGTTTAATGAACATTGGTAATGAAGTTTTGGTATACATAACTGAATCATGCTTGACAATATGGAATCAGTTTGGGATATGAAATCTTAAAACAAATAATGCTTTAAGTTATTATTTGAACTAAGTTTATCTAATAAATTTATCTACCATAAGCAGAACAATAAAACCAATTAGTACTTTAAACTGAAAGTAAATAGTATATTATTGATCAAGACATTCAGTAACTGCAAAAAAAATGAAATATAATTTACTAAGGTGTGTGTGTGTCACATACAAAATTTTAGGCAGAATCCACCTGGATTTTAGGTGGATTCATTGTATATTCCATCTAAAAGCTAAAAATTTCAGATGTACTTTAGGTGGACTGGGAATACAGCTGAGGTGATAGACTGAATCTAGGTGTACTATTTCTCCTGTTCCTTCTAAAGGATGACTGTTGTGATGCTACCTGTTTCCTACCTAAAACTGTTCTTCAGTGTTCCAAAATTTCGACTGCATTTTACAACACTGTCTCAATAGGTAATGAATATTTAAAACAGTGCCATAAACTAACAAATACTCCATTTCATGAAATATATTGTATACACTGAAATGATCTTTAAAAATGTGCTATATCACTATGAAACCTAATAACACCTTTGTACCACACTTGGAAAAATGTATCTGGTTTTGTGCAAACTGACGTTCCATTTCATAGATATGATTCAATTCAGCATGCTAAAATTTCATTTGACATTAAAAATTTGTATTAACATTAGGAAAAAAATTCATACAATATTTACAGTTTCAATTAATAATGAAAATAATTTAAAAGTTGATCATTTTACAGATTGACTAATTGAAGAAAGTCAGAAACTATCAGTCATTAATGCTTCATTTAAAACAGTTTTGTGGTTTAACTGGATATTTGAAACATAAACCTTACATATATGTTGCTGTTGTTTTAATTGTTTATGTACTTGCTTATAAGTCAAGTAAAAATGCAATCAACATAGATCCAGATCTGCCATATCATAAAGCACCTGCAGATCAGAGTCTATATTGTTTGTCCTACTGATTATTCCTAGCTAATTATAGACCCAGATCTTCCAGTGCATCATGCAGATCCAGGTCTGTGCAAATTGCAGTTGGACTCATCTTATATATAAGTATATATGGTGTTAATCTTCTGGCAGCAAGCACCATGTTTTAGTAATTTCAAGGTTTTGCTAAATAACACAACATTATTATTTTCAAGTATTGCAAAAAATAGCCTTTTGAAGCAACAAAAAGTTTATCAGTTGACAACACAAAATGTCAATCTCTTCTCTTTCTAGAGTAAAGGATATGAAATGTTAATAGAGGGCAATGTTTCTTACAAATTCTAACTTACATGATATTTAGTTTAAAATAACTTATTTTCAAATTATGAAATACCCTTCAGGTTCATATCAGTGAATTAAACCTTTGGTCCAGGACCATGCTCATATTAAGACATGTACAAAATGGCTGCTCTGAGTTTTATTTTCCTCTCTGCCTAAAGATGGTGTTTGATCTGTCAAGAAAGATAAATGTAGTGGGGTGTTGGGGTGGTGTAGACTGAATTTAATTATGTAATACTTACCTGGTACTATTGAATTTTTTTCTTTACATTATATCCCCATTCCAATTATTAATTAGTAATTGGAGACCAAGAATAGAAATGAACATGTTCTAGTCTGTTTCCTCACTCATAACCAACATATAAATTTAGACCAAGACTTTAAGGCATCCAAGTGGGGAGGGAGGAAGGAATAACAGCAATAGTATAAGATAAGTATTACACCAACCCCACTCCACCCCAAATTTTTTTTAATAGAAGTAATACATTATCTGCTGCAACCAAACTGCTGAATTTACCTTCTGTGTTTGGAGTGAGGTTGATAGAATCAAAAACAAAATCTAGAAAAAGAAAAATACACTTACCCTACCTTTTGAAGTGATTCCTACTGAATTCTGGTAGATCATTTAACTACATGTGTTGTCACAATTGGACCCATTAAGCAAATACTTTTATTCAGCAATTAAGTTAATATGATAATTAAGTCAAATTAGAGACCAGCTCATGATGTGACTCTAGACTTCAATTTTCATGAAAGACAGACAAGCTCTCTTGATAGTGAAGACAATCTGCCTGGAAATTGAGAGAGAGAGAGAGAGAGAGAG